CAGATCCGAGGGATATCAGACAATTAATATGTAAACAAGCAGGAATAAATTTGAATTAAGAATAAAATATCAAAATGCTGAAAGAATTCTAAAATAAAAATCCTCAATTTACAATAATAAATTAATAACATTTAAATCCTTCAAATCTGTACAACTCGGGAATCCATCTAGTGGACCCTTAATAATTCCAATTGGTAAAACATTTACAGAATTAAAATCCAAAACCAAAATAAGAAAGAAAATCCAATGTAATCGGAAGAGTGAGTGACTGTATCTGCATCACCACGATCAAACCCTAAGCCTGGTACTCACGAACACCTGAAAAATAAAGGTGGGTCAGGCCCACATGCAAGTTCCATCTTACTACAATCCGTACATAAACCCGATACGCAAATACATCCTAGATAGCTCGGCAATATCTACAATAGTCCATATATATATAAATACACACTATAGGATGCTCACTAGCCTATAACATAGTTCAGCCTGGGTAGAAAGTGACCTATAAAACACATTTTTCAGCGGCCAAGTACCTAGACCTACCAGGGAACATTAGTTATATCCAGCTACTCAACCTTTGCGATATACGCACCCTAACCGTGATCAGAAGACTCAAGCTCGTATCACGGTACCATAAATATATATATAAATTCCATCCTAGTGCAGAAAGATAAAACAAATATCCATTATGTCGTTCAACTGTTTTAGTTGACAGGACATGCATCCATGTAGGATTTAACTGTTTTAGTTAATCCATTCCTTATGTATGAAGGGGTAGGACTTAGTTTTTTTTTTTTTTATCTAATCCATCCCTGATATGTCACCGTCCCATACCGGTACATATAATGCAAATGATCCACAAACGATGCACATTCATTAGAACATCAAATATATCCAGTGCCCAACATAATAGCAATCACATATAGACAAGATTGTATTATGCATACAATACATGATTAAAATCACGAAACATCCGTTTAAATTGCTAAAGTAATGATAAACAATTTAAATTATCCCTTTCTATATAATTGACAGAATTTAATATCATAACTCAGCAATTAAAAATCCAACATATAAATCCATGTAATTGACAGAACATAGTTTAATAGTTCAACAATTAAAAACCAAATAATAATCCAGGTAACTGCAGAACAGAGTTTAATAATTCAACAATTAAAAACCAAACAATAATCCAGGTAATTGCAGATCAGAGTTTAATAGTTCAACAATTAAAATCCAGAATATGCCCAGATCAAGTATGATAAATAAATGACCCTATTAAGCATCCAAAACAAGATTTATAATCATGTTATAATCCGTTAAATTGCCAAATTAAAATTAAGCAATTAATTTCTTTCCATCCGTTACCAGTATGTAAGGTTGTTTAAACTTCCCTACTGACACATCCGTTAGCATAAAGACTTTAATTATGCATATCAATTAGACCGATTTAATCTCCATAACAAAATTAAACTATTTAACCTCAAGTTTTTATTTAACTTAGAACAGTTTAATACACATCCATTAACTAACTTTTTAGTTAATTAAATCCTATACTTAGCATATCTAGGTATATTATGCAATCCAGTAAGTTATTGGGCTAATTTATATACTCTGATATTAATAAAATAAACCCAAACGTGTTCTATAGGAACAACACAACATTGGACCAAAGAGTTCACAAAGTTCTTAAACCGGTTGATGTAAAGTTTCTAGGTGTCAACCGGTTTACCCAAACTGGTTGATGTATAGGTTTTAGGTGTCAACCGGTTTACCCAAACCGGTTGATGTATACTTTCCAAGTGTCAACCGGTTTACACAAACCGGTTGATGTATAATTTTCAAGTGTCGACTGGTTTACCTAAACCAGTCGATGTAAAATTCCAGATGTCAACCGATTTCTCCAAACCGGTTGACATCTAGCCCATAGACGTCAACGTGAAGCCTCGTTGTCTGTCTCTTCTCCGACTCCGATGACTCTGTTAAAGTTACTAACGGTACAGTTTTACATCCTAATCAACCCTAAACATTATTTTGGTTCTTTATACATAATTTAAACAAGTTAACATCATGAATCATGCAGTAAACTTTAAACAAAAATTAAACATATACACATATAATTAACATAATGCAATTCAAATTTTAGCATGTACACATGGTTGATTTTAATAACGTAAATTTCCTGGAGTTTCCCTAGGAATGCACAGAACACAAGTTTACAGGAAGAAGATAGAATGAAACTTGCCTCTAGGTTTCAGTTTGAAACCTTCAACCTTCGTTTGCAAATTCCGGCAAACCTAATACATTCCCTTCCTCCTTTGGTCACTGCCCATTTTTCCTCTGTTTTGCCTTCTCAAAACTAATACGTGCATAGGGTTTTCTAACCCTAGCTAACTTATTTTGTTTAATATATATAGGGCTTCATTCTATATTTAACCTACTTTTAATTTCGACTAATTTACAAGTCGGCTAAATACTCCCCATAAAAGAAAACCCTAACCCTAATCTAGATCCACGACCATTTAAAATATAAACTAAATGAGTCACCCAAGCATAACTGCAAATAAAGCAAAAAAATTAAATAAACAATTGACAAATAAATTATATAAACTAACTAACAATACACGTCAATTAAATCATACAAATAAAATAATTAAATTAAATCACACACAAACAATTCAACTATTAAATTAAATACGCATAAATAGTAATTAAGCAATTAAGCAAATACACATAAAATAAATTCCCAAATAAAACAATCAATTCAAACAACTAAGTCATATAATCAAATAAAAATGAAATAAAAACCAAAATACAAAATTAAATTCCCATTTTGTCCTTTTGAAAAACTAGGGGTATTACAGTATTACTACCTGAGGTGTTAGTCTTTCTTTGATTACTCATTTCTTGGTCGATTGACTGAGAATCTGATCCTTCTGGTGCTTTCCTTTCTCTATGCTCTATTACATTTAACTCTTTTTTTACTGTGTTTAATTCTAATGTTGTATGGAAAGATTCAAATCCGACACTTAGAATATTTTTCTTAATATCATCATTATTTCCTTATCCTAAATAAATACTTTCGATAAGTTGGTATTTAGGTTCTAGATACTTGTTTTGCAATGCTTCTAATTCTAAATTATCAAAATCGTACATTATTTTATCTAGAATTTCATCTTCTAATCTATCATAAAGGACATTTATTTCCTTAGGAGATTCTATCTGTATTAGTATAGTTAAAAAGTCTTTTTTAGTATCATCAACTAAATTGTCTTGTCTTTTATAATTACTAAACCTTATGCTAGCATTTCCGCTATTTGAAACATATATCATATTATTTTCGGGAATCTTTTTAGGTATAGTAGTAAGTTTAGGTAATTTTCATTCTGTTCCTTCTTAGGCAATACTGTTTACTTTTCTGGCTTCTGTCATTTGGACATATTTGCTACTAAAAGGTTTAAATATTTCACTAAATTGGGCTTTAAATTTTAAGTTATACTGATTAACTGCCTTTCCCATAAATAAAGTATTAACTAATATATTTTCAAATTGTCCTGTCATATTATATCCTTTTATAGATATAGCTATCTTAATATGTTTATTGAATTCTCTAGTAGTCATCATATAATTGGGAATACATCCTACTATTGTGGCATTGTCGGCTAAGTCTATTTCGGCGCTGACTATTTGTGCTTGTTGATGGTTATTCCATCGATCATCATAAATATAAGCAAGTGCTCTAGTTCCGATTTCTGCTCTGTTTAATCCCACTAATCCTATTATTATGACGCCTAAATGCATAAGTTCTAAATTATTATCATTTAATTCTTGGCATGCTTCGGGTGTTATAAGGTCTAAAATAACTTGATTGTTAACTGCACTTATTTTTCTTTGGCTAAAATGATTATATATCTTACTCTGAAAATCGAATAAATTATTAGAATAAAGATTAACTTTATTTTTTACCTTCTTCATTCCTTATTCTATATATTTTTTAGCATCATGTTCATTATCATATAAATCTTCTACTCTCATTATTTCTTTGGCTTTTCTAAGGATAATGGCCATTGTGGTATTTGCTTATGAGGTTGAGGTTGTAATAAATTTACACGCTTGGCTGTTGGAGGAGAGGACTGGTTATTGTCTGACAATTTTATTTCTTTTATCTTTTCTGATAATTCAGATAATTCTTTAGAAGATTCTTTGGGAATACTTTCTTGTATCACTTCTAATTTCTCTTCAAGTTTATTTATTTTATCAGATAACTGAAGTAATAACTGGATTAAAAAGTTATTTTGTTTAATATGTATATTAGTTGATTGTACGTCTGTTTTAAAGCTTGTAAATCCTATGGGTTCTTTATCAATTTTGTAAAGTTCAGCTAACGCGGTTAAATAATCAGGACTACTGGTGCTCATAAAATTATTGTAACAACCTTTAGATATCGGTTTTAAGGGATTTTAAATAGTCTATGATTATTTTTTGATTTCCGGTAATATTTTTGATATCACTATTAATATTTTTAATGGCGACCAATATTATCTTGTTATCTAAATTATTTGGACTAGAATTCTGTACTACTTGTTCTTTAATATAATCTAAATTTTCTCCTAATCGTTTTATAGAAGTATCTAAATTATTAAAGTCAAGTCTATTCATAAACTAAAATTGTTGCCGTCTAGCTTCTAAAATATTTTGTATTAATATAATTCTAAATCTAAGTTCTTCAATTATTCTTTGTAGACTGCGTATTATGTCTCCTAATTCTAGCGCTATGTAGCAGTTTCTAAGTGCTGTTCGACAAAATTCTAAGACTTGAATAAGTTATTCTTTAGATAAATTATGCAAAAAGTAAATTTTTAAGGGTAAAAATATAAATTCAAATTAATAAAAAGCTAAAATAAAACTTGGTTCATGTATTTGTAAATATGCAAACTACTTTTGTTTGGCTACGGCTACGGCCCACGGGTAATACACTTGCCCTAAGACCACTTAACTGTAAAAGTCCCTAAAAATATCGACTTACTGTATACGCTATTTCTCTCTCTCTCTCTCTCTCTAAAAAACCCAGAACCTAGGTTTCAATCTAAACCCTATCATTCGTATCTAAACCCTACGATTCATTCTGAACTCTAATTGTTTTAGATACGGTTCATTCGTATCTAGGTTCGTCTAATCGTTCGTTGTTTTGATTCGGCTTAGATCGTCTGAAGGACATGAAGACCTTGAATTCGTCTGTGTGTGGGGGAGACGGTGATGCCTGGCCACCGGGGTTCCGATTCCATCCTACTGACGAGGAACTCGTCCTGTATTATCTCAAGAGGAGGATCTGTCGCCTGCGGCTCAAGCTCGACATCATCGCAGAGACCGATGTCTACAAATGGGACCCAGAGGAACTACCAGGTATCTATCTGATCTCTCTATATATCTATCTATTTCATGGTTTCTTCCCTCTTTATGCGTTGTTTGATCGTACTTTCTATTTGGGTGTGATTTTATTTTCTTGACTTATCGGTTAACATGATTCACAGATATGTCTTGTTTTGTTGAATTGTCGCTGTTTTTTCGTATTGGGTGTGATTTTATTTTCTTGACTCATCGGGTTCTGTTGGAATGATATTAGGGTATGCCTTGTTTTCTTGAATTATCGTTGTTTTTTCTATTTGGGTGGTCAATTGTATATTTCAAATATTGATTATGATCTTCAATACATCCAGTAAGTAGTCGTGCCTTGTGCTCTATTTAAATTCTGATTTTGTGATAATCATTGAAAATCCTTTTGTTTGTTTGGGAAGGTGATTCTGTTATGCATCATTACTTGTTAGACCGCATCTGAGGAGGCTTCTTAGTCCGATAGGGGTGCAGTTGGTGTTTTCCCATTTAGCAAAACAAACCCATTTTGTCTGAAAAATATAACATAATTATATGTATGCAATATGTAATTATTTGAACACAACATATATGTATTCTTACAATTCTATCATGGGTTAATGTGTGGTTTTAGCAATAGCCAAGTCACAATTTTGCTCAAAATTCTCTTTTATATTTTCACTAACTTTGCCTCTTCTTATGCTACTCCCATTTTAATGGGAATGTGAGAATCAGATAAATCTAAAGAGGGTTGGAGGACTGAAATAGTGAAATGAGGAACGCATGGCATCCTAGTACCTGCATTCCTAGTTTACGATCATATTATGTTAATGTTTTTCATTGTATTGGGTTTTGCTTAGGTTGCTTGAATTCATTGTCATGTCCGGGGGCATGAGTAACTCTTTGCATTTGATTTCAGCTTAAGACGTAACCTACTGACCTGTAGATTTTGACCCTGGGTTTGGGCTATTATTTTTCACCTGATTGCTTACGGATTGTGTGTTGTTCAGTGTATATATATAAATATGAAAAGTAGGGAAGTCGGTTATTCTTCATTAAGCCACCGGGATATAATTCGTTATAGGATGCTACGTCTGTTGATAATCAGCAGTACTTCAAAATTTGTTGGTCTAAAATGGATATGATCCTTCATTCTGTACTTTCTACTTTGTATAAACTGTTTGCAAAAGGCTAAAGTGCCAAAAATTAAGTGCTTAACTGCTTCCTTTTATTCACACTGCTGCTTTCCGGCGTCACATTTGTAGTAAGGTGTATATCGTCGTCAAAGACACTCGAATATCGATTATGATCATCAATATATCCGGTATCTATATGTGTTTTTCAGAGTTTGTTTAGATTGAAGTGAAGGGTTGTTCTTTATGCAAGCATTTGTCTTTGTTATGTTGAACTTTGGGTTTAATTCAGTGTTCTTGGGTACTTGTTTAATTAACGTAGTGTAGGTAAAAACCACTCTTTCATCAAATTTTCCCATTATTGTTCTAATTCAGCTTCATATTTAAGATTCATAGTGTGTAAATACTTGTTTTTGTAATTATATTTTGTTCTTCTCTAATAACTTTTAAAATTTTGGATGACTTCACAGTTTGTGCATAATATAACCTAGACTATGCACCTGTTCTAATTGCTACTTGTTAGTGGTACTGTTTATTTCATTTTGTTGAATTTGAGAATGAACTGAATTTTGCAAAATTTTGGAATGCAGAACAATCCAAATTAAAGACTGGGGACAGACAATGGTTTTTTTTCAGCCCTAGAGATAGAAAATACCCTAACGGAGCAAGATCAAATAGGGCAACCAGACATGGGTACTGGAAAACAACTGGAAAGGACCGTGCCGTTAGATGCAATTCTCGTTCCGTTGGGGTGAAGAAGACTCTGGTTTTCTACAAAGGTCGTGCACCTAGTGGTGAACGCACAGATTGGGTAATGCATGAATATACCATGGACGAAGAGGAGCTCAAGAAATGCCAATCTGCACAGGATTATTTTGCATTGTATAAAGTCTTCAAGAAGAGTGGACCTGGACCAAAAAACGGCGAAGAGTACGGTGCTCCCTTTAAGGAAGAGGATTGGGCTGATGATGAATGCTCAAATGGTGATCACAATCTCCAGGAAAATTCTGTGATGCAGGTCAATGATGTTGCTTCCACCTCTATGGCACCAGTCCGAGAGGATGAAACTGGTAACATCAGTGCTAATGGTCAAGTGAAGTCTGCTTTAAGGGATCTCGAGGAGTTCGTTAACCGAATTACGGATGAACCTTCTTTGGCCCAACTACTCGCTGTGGTGGATCCATTGGTGGATCCATCCTTTAGGGATGCCAATAGTCTTGGACAGAGCATAGTGACCCACCCAAACAGCCAGCAGTATGATTTGCAGTCAAGCTTTGACTTGACTCGGTCTGCCATCCCTAATGTACAAATACATGAGACACTTGAGGTCACATCTGCTGTGAATGTTTGTGAACAGGGACCTCATGCAACTGAGGATGATTTCATTGAAGATTTAATTGAAATGGATGATCTTTTTGAAATGGATGATCTTGTTGGTCCCGTAGCTGCTGTTCAGGACATTGAGAACTTGCAGTTTTCTGAGTTCGATGGATTGGGTGACGTGGAGAAATTGAGTGAGGTTGATGACCTCTACCTGGACGCAGCCATGTTTCTTCATGACATAAACCAAGGGCCACAGTCATATTTTAATAATCTAGAGGATGGGATGGTAAATCCCCTGGATTTCCAGTTTGAGTCCTGTTCGAATGATGCAAATCACAGCATAATTACACCAGCAGCATCAAATCACGGTACTGTTCCTGAACCAGCTTCAGGTGAATGTTTCTACAGGTTTTAATTTTGATGGCTGTAATATGCTATTTGTTACTACTGTGGTTGTAGTTTACGAGGCCTTTATGAAGCTATGATGTTTTTTCTTTTCTTTTTTTCGAGTTATTGTTTTAAGAATCTGTTATCTGACTGCATAGAGCTCTTGACCAGATGGATGGTTTTTTGGTAGACCATGTCATCATCCAGATGGTGAAAGCCCTTTTGCCCCAGTGGGAGAAGGGAACTTTTGAACCAAGCTTCAAGAGCTCTTCTGCTAATAACTCTCAGGTGTAAATTATAGCTAATGTCAGGAAGTTTCTGGTGATGTTTAGGTGTGGTATGTGCTGCTGGTAATTCTGGAAATCTTCCTACTAGTACAAATCAAAATGAAAGTGGCAAGGAGGATGATGGTACAGTTACGTGGTTCTCTTCTGCTCTATGGTCATTTGTGGAGTTGATACCCACCACTCCGGCTTTCACATCAGAGAGTGCCTTGGTGAACAGGGCTTTTGAGCGAATGTCTAGCTTTGGCAGGGTGAGGATGGACGCAGGGAACACAAATGTTGCTGCAGGTAACTCCACTGCAACTGTAATAAGATCAGGCAAATATAATTGTAATTTTTTGTGTTTTTCTGTTCTTAGAGTGGTGTGTGCTATATTGTGGATGATAGGATCTGTAAACTGTCTTTGGAAGATTCATTTCTTATTCAATTCAATTTATTCATTTTATAATTTTTTTGTCTGTTGTTGGGTTTATGGGCAAAGCCTATTTTGAATTTTTTCTTTAAATTTATTTTTATTGTACTTATGTCATATTATTATGTTTTTATAAGATTTCAATGGTAAGTAATACAGTCTTTTTAATACTAAAATATATCAGTAATACATACATATTTTGCCTTTGCAGTGATATTTTTTTAATAAATTCAAATATGGAAAAAGAGGGGAAAGAAAAAAAATTAGGCCTGGTTGTTATTAAAAAAATAAAAAAAAATGGGGGTTTGGGTTTGGGTTTGGGTTTGAGTTTGGGTTTGGGTTGGGCTAGGCAGGCCCAAATTACACCCTTCCCATTACAACGAGCCTAATACTTTGTCACTATAAAAAAAGAAGACGAAGAAGATTTAAAAAAAAAAAAAAAACACCTTAAATGCTACATGTTTATGTTTGGAATGATAATTAGACTGAGTTCTAAACCATTTTATGAGATCTTCCTCCTTAATTTAAAGAAAGAAATTATTGCAAATAATAGAGGTCAAATCATAAGCAAGGCCGGTCCATTCCCAAAATTTTGAGCAAATTTTCAAATGTAAGACCCTTGTGCTACGTTGGTGTGCATGAATGAAATGAAATGAAACTTGGATGTGCATTAATGAAATGAAATGAAACTTAGAATGAAATGAAAATGAGATTGGAATGGAATGAGTATTACCATTCTAATGTTTGGTGTGATACGGTGAATCGTTATGAAATAGAATGATTATTACCATTTTATTGTTTGGTTGAATATCATTAAATTGGGAAGGGAATACCTTTTCTCAAAAATGCCCTTTTCATTGGAGGAAAGAAAAATAAAAAAATTATAACTAAACCAACTCACCATGATTGAATATTTAACCTAAGAAGTTGATATAAAGGCTAAAAATAACGAGAACTTGCTGGAAGGAACGAATAAAGAATACATATATATTCTTTATATCCCTTTTTTATTTTATTTTTAAATTTTTTTATTGTAGATTTCTTGAAAATTCTAATTTTGATAAAATTCTTATCGAGCAAGGTTCTCCGATCGTCCAAACGATGAACTTGACTAAGGATCCAAAAGTTAAGCAAGTCCACTTTTGGTTCCAGATGATTACATAAATGTTTCAACACAAAGATACAAAAAAAAATATATATATATATATATATATATATATATATATATATAATAAAAATAATAAAGTCATATACTCAGAAGATAAAAGAGATTTAATACATACTTATCAAAAATAAATAAACAAAGAAATTAATATTTGCAATTTAGTTAAAAATCCTGTTCTGGGTATATTCAGAAGAGAGGGAAGATGAAAGACTTTTACCACGTCTAATAAAAAAGTCGATAAACATGAAAAATGGAATGTGAAAGATTTTTGGTGAATGCAAAATATTTTTGCCTTATTGGAATGTGATTAAGGGCTTATTGGAAATATTACAAAAATATTTTATCTTGCTATGGAATGGAATGGCCATTCCATAGGTTTACAAATGGAATGGATTTTCGTTCCCTGGAATGAATTTTCATTTCATTCCTGCACACCAAACAACTAAATGGTTGGAATGAACATTTCATTCCATTCCATTCCTGCACACCAAACGTAGCCTTATGCATAAAAAATTTACAAGAGTGTGAAGTTTTCATTAAAATGAAACATTTGAAGGGTCTTACATTTAAAACACAACTTAATCACAAAATTGAAAAATAACTTAATCACAGAAAGAAAATATTTAAAACACAACTTAAATCACAAAAATAAAAATTAAACATCGTATCAAAGTAAATGTGACCGTATTTCATTTTGGGCTACAAAATTATTGATTAAAGTGTTCAAATCAACTTTTTCAGCATATATTTTTCAATACAGATCATAGTCAATTCATTCAATCTCTTGTGACATCGTTGACAGCAGGTAAGATTTGTTAACTTAATTATGATAATTGGGATATTCAATAATACTCTGTATACAATCCAAACATTTATAAAACAATAAACTAGTATTTTTATAAAAAACTAATAATTCAATTGCCGTAAAACTTATCTTAAGACTTGTAATTCTGAAAATAATTATGTCCCATTAATATGAATTTTTTTTAAGAGATCTTCAAGTTTATTTCAGAGAATGTGACAATTAATTGCATTCATAAATTAAAATTTTAATTGTTTGGACTGAGCTTAAAAAATATATATTTGGAAAACAAATCATGTACACTAAAGCATAGAATTATAAAATCGTAGTATTCTATTAATACACCAACTTAACTCACCATTATTCAACAACAACAGTATCTTTTTAATTTATTTTTATGATAGTCTTCAAACAAAGAACCAATTTTATACATAAGACCATAGAGGGACCACAAATGCTTCGAACTTTTGAACGGACTTGTAATTTAATTATTCTAATGTTACGTTTAAGTATTTTTTTTTATTTTTGTCAAAAGGAGCAAGCATGCTCTATTTTTTTTATACAAACATAAAACCTAAATTGGATACTTTGGACATAAATAGAGCAACCAAGGGGCGGATCCAGAAAATTGCAATAGAAAATTTTCACTCTTGCTCTTTACAACAACTCGATGCTTGTTCTTCTAGTTGGCAACTTAATTCTAATATTTTTACAAGCATTCGCCTAGATCGAACTTCAAATGTTTGATTTATTTTTTTCTTATATATTTATGTATTATTGTAGGGAAGGAATGAGAAGACTGGTGAATCCAAAGTTCACAAAAAAATGAGCAATGCAATATTTTTTGTGTCAGTCGTCGATTATTTTTTTTTATAAATTTATTATATTGTCTCAGCAAGGTGCTATATTGTTAATTAACTCTAACCATTGTCAAGTAATCTAATTGGTAGAGTACCTAACTCACTTAGCGGGTACGTTGGTATTCAAAACTCCCTCCCTAATTTGCTAGCCTAATACATTGTCAATAGTTAATTAACTGTTTTTATAACAATCATTTATTTTTGTTGTCTAGATTTAGCTATCTTTCTACTTACAAACTTATAGCAATTTAGTGCTGCAAGTTAAGCGGGTTATGAGGTTATCCCAGCCCAACCCAAATATTTTTGGTTGGGCCTGCATTTTTAGAAGCTTGGGTTGGGATTGGGTTGAAAATTCTCAACCTGGGCCCAATTCGGGTTAGCCTCGGGTTTGAACTATTCTAACCCAATCCCTACCTATCCAACCCTATTTTGAGCCCTTTTTATTTTTATTTTTTTTGGGCATAAAACCGTAACTAACAGTTCTTTGGGCAACTCCCAAAAAAAAAACTCCCACCACCACATGCTGCTGCCTAAAAAAAAAAAAAAATTAATTTGGTCAACTATTTGTAAAACTCAAATTGACGGTTAAGACTAAGCAATAATTTTTATTTTTAAGAATCAATTGTGGTGAATATGTGCAATAAATGTAGGAGAGAGAGAGAGAGAGAGATTAAGCTGCCCAATCTGAAAAATATTTAGATTTGGGGTTTTTTTTTTTTTTTTTTTTTTTTTTTTGTACTTATGTCATCTTATTATGTTTTTATAAGATTTTAATGGTAAGTAATACACTACCTTTTCAATACTAAAAAAAAATCAGTAATACATACATATTGTGCCTTTGCAATGATATTTAAAAAAAAAAAATCAAATATGGAAAAAGAGGGGGAAAAAAAAAATAGGCCTTGTTGTTATGAACAAGAAAAAAATAAAAAATAAATAAAAAAGGAAGAAAACACGGGTTGACCTGTATATAACCTGACCCGTGAAAATTCGGATTGGGTCTCACAGGTTGAAGCCCATGCTTGGATTAGATCGGGTTGGCCCAACCCAAAATCAGGTTGAGGTTGGGTTTGGATTGGGCTGGGCAGGGAAAGCCCAAGTTACACCCCTAGTGTCACTCCCATCACAACAAGCCTAATACATTGTCACTGTGAAAAAGAAGACGAAGAAGATTAAAAAAAAAAAAAACCTTAAATGCTGCATGTTTATGTTTGGAATGAAAATTAGACTCAGTTTTAAACCTTTTTATGAGATCTTCCTCCTCAATTACAAGAAATAAATTATTGCAAATAATAGAGGTCAAATCATAAGCAAGACCGGTCCATTCTCAAAATTGTGTAAAAAATTTTCAAAAGTGCGAAATTTTCATTAAAATGAGACATTTGAAGGGTCTTACATTTAAAACACAACTTAATCACAAAAAGAAAATATTTTAAACACAATTTAATCACAAAAATAAAAATTCAACTTTATATCAAAGTAAATGTGATCGTCTTGCATTTTGGGCTGTAAAATTATTAATTAAAGTGTTCCAATCAAATTTCTTTAACATATACTCTGTATTTTTCAATACAGATCATAGTCAATTCATTCAATTTCTTATGACACCTCGACAATTGTAATTGGGATATATTATAGAGAAATTCTTTTTAAATTGAGGATTTTGGTGCAAATCATGGGCAACACCAGGGTCGGCCCTGAGATTGAAAAATTCTTGAGAGGCCCTAGGCGAACTTTAAATGTGAGGCTCCTATACATAAGTTTCACACGCGCAATTTTTTTTATTTATGAAAGTGCGAAATTTTCATTAAAGTAAATGTGATCATCTTGCATTTTGAGCTGCAAAATTATCAATCAAATCAACTTTCTCCAACATATCTTTTTCAATAGACAAGATAGTCAATCCATTCAATCTCAATAATACTTGCCTCCAATGTTCTCTATCTTTGTTGATTTTTTCTTCTACACATTTATCGTTTGTTGCATTTTTTTTGTAATCTGATTTCTAATTCAATCCAATTCCCCATGTTAACAATGTGTTCACGACTAGTCTCGTGACTTTTAAGTTTATCCCATAGATTTTTCTAGTCACTCAATCCTTCATTTGCCATATGAGTTTTTTGTTCATCACATTTAAACAACTTATAACAAAAGTAATAGACTCTGTCAAAAGAACTCGAATAGATTAGCCATCTTCTATCATGCTTTTCACCGTTTGACAAGTGTCGAATGTCATATGTAGAAGAGAAATGTCTATTTTTTGAATTTTTAGAAAAATTTTCAAATTTAGCATATCTTGGATGATCTCTTTCAACTAATAAATCTCTCATTTTTTTTTTTTTATCAATATCTTTCCAATTTCCTGGATGATTAATGTTCAAAGAAAGATTATCATTCTCATTCATATATTCTTCATTTGCCAAGTCTTAAAGTTCATTCACACGTTCTTCATTTTGATTCTCTTTCCTATCTTCATTCATTAAATCTCCATGTTCATTAAGATTTTCTTCATTCCTATGTTCTTCCTTCACCAAATCTTCAATACTTCAACTAAACTCTTAGTTTGTGCATTGTTCCTAAAAAACTTATGAATAGCGCCATTTTGAGATTCAATCAATTCTTTTTTTTATTTTTCTTACCCAGATTTAAATTTTATTGTAGATATAATTGTCAAAAATCTTCACAATCAATATAAAACTGAACTTAAAAAAAAAAATACTTTGCTGAAAGAAAATATCAATCTCAATGGCTCAATATGCAATCATATGATTTACAGAAAAATAAAAATACCTCATGAGAAGTCTAAATGATAAGTCCTTAACTAACAAATTCATTTGTCAAACAATAATTCCATTATTTCCATAAGAACAATTGATATAGATTTAAGTTCATCAAAATAATTTTTTGGTTTAAGATTTAATTTAAGTTCATCAAAATAACTACTAGAACACTTGAATTAGAGTTAGAACTTAGATGTAGAAAAGAAAACTTATAGTGTTGTTGCCATTAATTGAGTGTGTTGATAGGGATCGATGATGCAGATGCAGAGTTATGAACCCGGAAAAAAAAGAACAGAGAGAGACTAAGAGAGAGCTCACACTTAAGAGAGACTGAAAAAGCTTCTGTCTTCTGATTGTTGCCGTTGGTTGCAGAGTAAAGAGAGAGGGAGTAAGCTTGAGACTTGGGAGGTGAGGTTAATTAATAATTGTCCTAAATTTGCCCTAAATTTGATTGTTGTTGCAGTTGCCCTATTTTATTTTATTTTTCAATGGCCCATCATTCTTGCTGCATTTGGAGGTTGGCATATCATTCTTGCTCCATTTTGATGGCCCTAAATTTGGAGGCGAGTTTCAATTGATACGGTTTGGTTATAATTTTTTTTTTTTTTTTTTTTAGTGGCCCGTCATTCTTGAGGTCCCTTATTTGTTGCATTTTGGTTATAATTTTTTTTTTTTTGTTGCCCAACATTCATGGACTTATAAAATTTAAGGCCCCTTAAATGATTTGATGCATTTAGTTACAATTTTTTTTTTATTTTTTTATTTTTTTTCTTTTATAGCGCGTCATACATGGGCTTATAAAATTTGAGGCCCCCAAAATTCTGAGGCCCTAGGCGACCGCCTTGGGCCAGGGCTGGCCCTGGGCAACACAAGTCTATATATGTAATTTTTTTTGTTAACTTAACTATGAAAATCTTCCCAGCAATTGTAATTGAAATATTCAATTATACTCTATATGCAATCCAAACATTTAGAAAACAATAAACTAGTATTTTTATAAAATCTAATATTTCAATTGCCTTTTGTGTTTCTTTTGGTAAAGCTTATCCCATCAATAATTGTGTCCCATCAATATTAGAAATCATGTCATGTTTTAAGAGATCTTCAAGTTTATTTCGAAGAATGTGACAATTAATTGCACTCATAAGTTAGAATTTTAGTTATTTGGACTGAGCTTAATGAAGCCTGCCATGCATGCACAATTGCACATAAACACAAAAGTAATGTAATAATAAAATAAATTAGTATTTGAGTTTAAATTTAAAAAATTGAGGGTCTAAACAAAATATTGTTAGTGTACAAATTATTGTATTACATATATAACTTGATATTATATTTAAGTGTGTTTATTGATTTTTTTTTATAAAACAAAATATGTAATCTCTATAAGAAGGGAAATATATATATATATTAACGGAGCAGAAGTACAAGGATTATGAATTATATATATTTTTACAATTTTCTTGCAGCTTTTACACAAGTTTGGTCCAAGATTCTACAAAATGAATAAATAGTATCCAAATTTAGAAAAAAATATATATATGTGGAAAACAAATCATGTACACTAAAACATAGAATCATAAAATCATATTTTATTAATATACCAACTTAACCAAGGGCGGATCCAGAATTGCTGATTGGGGTGGACTAATTTAAGATTGGGCTAATTTTAGGTTGGCTAAATTCTTTTTTTTTTTTGGGCTGGGCTGAAAGTAGTATAGTTAAAAAAAAAAAAAAAAAATTTTGGGGTGGGCTGAAGCCCACCTTCGCCCACCCCTCCCTCCGCCCTTGAACTTAACTCACCCTTATTCACCACCACCACGATGACGGATTATGCTTTGATTATATGAGCTCATTCCACTATTGTTCTTTACAACAACTCGACCCTTATTCTTCTAGTTGACAACTTAATTCTAACATTTTTACAAGTATTCGTCTAGATTGAACTTCAAATGTTTGATTTTTTTAGAATTTTTTTCTTATTTATTTATATTGTAGAAAAGGAATGAGAACATTGGTGAATCCAAAGTTCGCAAAAAGATGAACAATGCGAGATTTTTTAAAGAAAATTTGATGCTAATGCTAATGCTAATAATATACCCAGTCTTTGATGCTTCTATTAGTGTCAAAAACTGGAAGCATTTAGAGAGAAAGCAAAAGAGGAGAAGAATATATAGAGGAGAAGACATTTAGTAAAGGACGGTTATTTTGGTTATTATTTTTGTCCTTTTATTTTCTTTCAAATAATATATACGAGTGTGTTTGACAATCCTCAACAGTAGAAAAGACAATTCACGGCAACAAATTAATATAAAAATTATTTTCTTTTAAAATATATATATAAGTGTGTTAGACAATCCTCAACAATAGAGGTGGCAATTCACTGCAACAAATCAATATAAAAATTATTTTATTTCAAAAGGTGACTTCAATTATTTAAAATATTTATTTCAATGATTATCACATTAACAAATAATAATAATAATAAAAACGTAAAAAAAAAAAAAAAAAAAAATGAAGACTTCTATTGGTATTACGGTATTTTTAAAGAATTAAAAACATTTAATTTTTTTTATAAGTAAAAAATCAAAATTATCAACATAGCAACAAACATATTGTACGCGAACCACTTTGGATTTATGTCCCCAGAGTCGGGTTTTGCTGCCCTGCTGCAGCAATTTATACGGTCTGAGTGAAAAGGCCTAACCTGAGTCACCTGACCTTCCAAATCTTCGAGAATTAGTGGTTATTAGATCCCGAATAAAAATAAAAATTAAAATTAAGATAAAAAAATATATCGTACGCTTGTAAATATTCTGCATATTTCCTCCGAGAAATTGATTTTTTGTAAGTTCCATTTCACACTCTCAACATCCTGCGTTCCGTTAGGGTTTAAGGCGCCCCTGAACCCTCATTTCTCTCGACTCTCTCTCTCTCTATGGCTTTGAACAACGACATAGAGAGAATTCTGTGGAACGAGGAAGAACTCTCTCAGCGAGTTTCTGAATTGGCCTCTCAGATTACCCAAGACTTCAGTGACACAGTCTCTTCTTCGGCTCCGGTCGTCGTCGGAGTCGCCACCGGTGCATTTATATTCCTGGCGGACCTCGTCAGGAAGATCAAGTTGCCAATTACTGTTGATTTCGTTCGAGCCGAATCGTACGGCTTTGGAACAGAATCCAATGGGGATCCCAGGATTTCATGTGATTTGAAGATTGACATTCAGGGCAAGCATGTGATTTTGGTATGGATTTTGGAAGCCCGACTCTAGAAAGAAGAAATTGAGCCCATAACCAAGAAGGGCCCAGGCGATCAGCCCAATGCAAGGAGTTAGTTAGGAAGCTTCTAGAAGATCTGTAACAGTTTATAAATAGACTGAAAATAGAGGGGAAATGGGTAGGAAAATATTTGAAGCGTAGAACTATTCTTTCTAAATTGAGAGGGAAAATTTCTTCGAGTCTTCATTAGTTTAGCCCAAGACTGGGAATTCAGGTTGGAAGCCTGACTCTAGAAAGAAGAAATTGAGCCCATGACCAAGAAGGGCCCAGGCGATCAGCCCAATGCAAGGAATTAGTTAGGAAGCTTCTAGAAGATCTGTAACAGTTTATAAATAGACTGAAAATAGAGAAGAAATGGGTAGGAAAATATTTGAAGTGTAGAACTATTCTTTCCAAATTGAGAGGGAAAATTTATTGCATCTTTATATATATATATATATATATATATATATATATATATATATATATATATATGCAATACAAATGGTCACTTATATTGGCAATTTCAAGTGGTCATTATTTACCTTTTATTGAGTTTAAAGTTTGTTTGATTCGATGAAAAATTTTCAAAAAATATTTTCTTTTTTACGTAAAATATTTTTTTACGGTAGTGTTTGGTTACACAAGCCGAGTAACCCAAAAATGTGTTTGGTGACGGACTTAAGCTGGCCGTGCCCATTTGTTGCTGGTTCTGTAAGATAATTAATTTCTTTTCTGTTCTAGATTTGATTCCAACTCTTATAATAAATCATTTCATTTTTTATTTTTTATTTTTTATTTTTTAAAAAAGAGATTATATAATATGCAATACAAATGGTCACTTATTGGCAAATATTTTTCAAGTGGGCACTAATCACTATTTACTTTTTATTGAGTTTAAAGTTTTTGTAAAGCAAATCTCTTTCAATGTTAATCACCAAAATTTTATTTTTCCCAAAGGTCAACGGAACAATTTTGCACACTAGGGCTACGTTTGTATCTTTTTTAAAAAAAATATTTTCTTTTTTTATTTAAAATATTTTTTATTTTTATTTTTTTTGTGTGACAAAGATTTAGGTCGAGTCCATTTAGTATGGCATGTAAAATAACTTATCGAAAATTGATAGATAACTTATTTTTTTAGATTCTAATATATTTTTTATTTATAAATATTTTAAGACAACCAAATACCAAAAAAAATAAAAAATAAAAAACATCCAAACAAAAAAGATTTTCTATTTCCAAAGAGAACTCTCTCCCTTTTTTTGGGGGATACAAGTAGGTTTTTTCTTGGACTTTATCTTAGGCTCATACTGGGCCGTCATGAATTTTCATGTTGGGCTGACAAATTGGTCGAGCTTTGCCAATAGTCTCATGGCCCGTTATACCCGTTTATTTAATTTTGATCCAATAGTCTCATTTAAAAAAATGGGATTTTTACTAATACATGGGCTTAAGGCTTAAATGTTACACTAAAATGAAAACAAGGTCTTGAAGTTTCAGTTAATGGATTGACCGCCACAATATTTCTCTAAAATAAACTTTATTTTATGCTTTAGACCACACAACAAACTATATTATTATTAAAGACACAAAACAATACTTTTATCTTATATTGTTCTATAAGCTTCACAAAAGATCCTTGAATACATATAAAATAATAAAATTTCACGGTAGATTAATATGGACTTAGAGACTTCTTTAGACAAAAGATCATATATATAAATTAAATTTAACGAAACAGTATAAGCTTTGATACCAAAATTGAGTTGGATCTAACCAGATAGAAGCATGCAAAATAACATAAAATAAATTTAACAATTAAATCACAGAAATGACTGCCGAACCTGATAACGCTTTGATAACGCCCTGTAAAAACGCCTGAACACCGGCAAGAACGGGCCAACAAGTCAACAGTTCGAGTCAACTCACAGAACAAATTACTAAATTAATACTAAGGCGGCTTGTACTAGTTGGATTCAAGAAAATTCTAGGATCTATACTGTCTGGCTAAATAAAATCTATATATTAGATCTTTTTGTCGACCGAAGTCTTTTACCCGAAAGTACTGAAAATACTAAATTGGGATTAGGAGGTTTTGAATAAGTCAAACTGGATAATTTATTTCATAAGTAATATATACATGGATACACACTGTTTATACATGGATACACTCTCACACTATATTTTACAAAGGAAATATACTGAAAGAAGTCACAAAACACACTGAAAACTGGAAGCTGGAATGCTTGATGGTTCTAGACTTGATTGCTCTAAAACTCGATATCTTTTACTTGAGCAGAAAGGCTCCTTTTATAGAAGAAGAGAGGGATGAATCAGCGGTTGAGCTTAAAGATGTTGCGTGGATGATTGAGATTCAAGATGCTTTAGAGATAAGATGACATGAATTATTGCTGAACTGTTGATGTCTTCTTCTGGAGAAATATCTACTTTTGCTGTTGAGAATCTGCTTTCGATGGATCTGCTTTTAACTGTACACTGTTGAGAATCTACTTTTCTTGAATGCTGAAGCTGCTTTTTCTTGTATACTGTGGAGAATTTGCTTTTCACTAGAATTCTTGCATATTGGACAAATTTCTGTTGGTAGTGCAATCTGTTGGACTATCAATTCTTGCTCTAGCATACCTACGGGCCAGGTATTCATCAGTACTATCTGGTGAGCTGGTTTCTTCATTTCTATAGGAAAGATCAAACTGTTCTAACAACATCTTTTCTTCATTTATTATTTCTTCAACTTCTGGGGATATCTCAATCTCTGGAGGGGACTTAATGACATGAGGAATTCTTGCTTTAACAAAAATTTTCATGTTGATATTATGATCATAGAGTCTGAAACCAGGATTGTAGCTTGGGTTAATTTGTCGATAGGCTTTATAGTACACCAAATGGTTAAAGGTAGCTCGTTCTATCTCATTACAAAAGTTATTTACAAAATCAATATGTTCGGTAAGAATTTTGACTTCAGTTGGATCAGAATGAATGTAAATTCGATGTTGTCCTAAAATTATAACTCCATCTTTTACCCATTCCGGGGGAGTACTGTGGATTTGAAGGAGAATTGGACTTTCTAGCATAAAATTTTGGGTTAGTTTCTGTTCGAAGGCAATGGCTTGATTTAAAAGGTTGGGAAAATTACATAAAGAATTTAGATATTCTAAGGGCGTGTCCTTAGGTATAGTGACACTGTATATCATTCTTAGTTCTAACAGCTTACTTAAATAACAAATGGTTGTTTTGGTAGAGAAAAATGGTTTTTCTTGTTATTTCAAAAGGAATAAAGAAAATAGGGTCTACATCTAACAAGATAATGGCTATTGGTATGTCAGTGCCTATTTGTATTAATTTTATGAAAGTACAGTTATAACGGGTTCCTTTAGGTGGACTGTTGTTTCTGAGGTAATTTTGAATATCAACCTATTCCTTAAGCCCATCTGACTTAATTTCTTCAAGGATAAGTTCTTTGATGTCTTCTGGAAAGAGCTCAACTTGTTGTCGCAAGATTTTTCTATATGTAGGAGAAAACATGGGTAATAACTTGGCATACTTGGTTTGTACATGCAGAAATTGAACCTTCTGAAGATTTTCATCTTCATTAATCCGTTGCTCAGAAATAGTTAGTTCTGTGGGATTTGTTGTCGTCTTTTGATAAGCTAAATTTAACTTTTTATAATGAGATATAAGCGTCTCATGTTCTTACTCTAAATTTTGATACGCTTTATTAGATGATACGAAATATTCACTTAAAGTGTTTAGATTTCTGACGAGGGTTCTATCAGGGTTGTTTCTAAAAAACCAAATATTATCTAAAATAAGTTTTTGGTCGGGAAAAAAATTATGTCTAGCGCGGAACTGTTGAGCTGGGTTTTGGATAATTAAAAGAGGATTAGAAGTGCCTGGCATAAGGCTATATAGCTATTGTTTCTCTTGATTTTCATTCCTGCAAAATTCAACAATCGATTAGTAAACGAGATAGAATATCTGCTAAATAATTATCTTTTCCTTTAACATGTTCAAATATAGGTTTAAAACCTCTTCCAGTAATACAGTCAATAAAGGAAATCCATCTCTTAGCAGACATCCGCTATTGTTTTGCTTTATTTGCAAATTTAACTATATTATCACAATCTATTCGTATAAGAAATTTTTTATCAAGGAATATCTGAAATTTTTTAATAGAGTTGGTTACCCCTAGAATTTCTAGATCTGTTGAGGGTAAAATAGATTGTATTTTATTAAAATTTCTACTAGCATGGCGACAAATTTGTTCTTCATCTCGAGAAGACTCTTTTATTGGTCTTTGAAGAAGTAACCCTGCCCAGCCTTGAGCTGATGCATCTGTTTGAATAATTTTATAACTTTTTTCAAGTGGGAGTCGTAAAGGTTCTAACTGAGAGACTAAAGATTTAATTTTCTTAACTAACTCTATATCTTGGGTATTGAAATATTTTTAACCATGTTTTCCTAGTTTTGAATATAAAGGTCCTACTAGTTGTCCTAATTTTGGAATAAAATTGCGACCATAGTTTAATAATCCTAAAAATACTTGTAACAACTTGGTTTCTTCTAATTTATCAGGAAAGTCTAAAATCTTTTCAACAATATGAGATTGTAATCCTATTTTTCCATCTTTTATGTATAAACCTAAGAATTCAATATCTTGTTTTTCTAATATCATTTTTTTACTACTTATAATGAGTCCTTGTGTTATAAACTCGTTGAATATAAGTTCAAGATGTTTTCTATATTCTTCTTTAGTTTGACTAAAGACTAAGATATCGTCGATGTAAACACAACAGAATTTTGAGTGTTTATTAAATATAGTATCCATTTTACGCTTAAATTCTTGTGGCGTATTTTTAATCCAAAAGGCATAACAAACCACTCATAATGTCTTTCAGGACATGTGAACGCTGTCCATTCGATGGATTCATCAGCCATCCGGATTTGCCAAAATCCTGATTTACAGTCAAATTTGAAAAACCATTTTCTATCT